AGTGTTCAGGAAAACGGCTACTTAATTTACACCATAATTACTGGGTTACAGCTTTAGCTCATTGGCAATTTTGGAAGCAATATTTTTGAAAGCTATGGATGTCCCTGAGATCCGCTTGAACCGGACCCCATTCAGAGACAGTCTTGGCAGCTTGCACACCTCCATCTCCCACTGCACGAGGTTCTCTGCGTGCCCATCGCCGTGGACACAGAAGAGGAGGAAGCGCTCTCTCTGCTCATAGTCGCAGTTATTGGCGTCCAGCACTTTGCGGATTTCCCGCATCATGTCACCAGGGTCCATGGAACTAGTGGTTTTCATGCTCCAGGTAAAGCGCAGGGAACGAGGCTTTGCTTCTTTGCTGTCATCCTTTTGCTCAGCAGATACGTTGCGACTGAAATGCACAGTGGCAGGTTTATTTTTAACTGCACAGGACAGCCAGCCTTCTCTACTCTAGCTAGTTCACGACCGACTCTCCAACCCAGCACCAGAGCCCACCTCCACATTTTCCTGGCGCAGCTCCCATGCGGTTATCTCTGCTTTTCTAAGTATTCATCTATCTCCCTCCACCCCACCAAAATCATAAGCCACACATGCAGAAAATCTACCTGGCTATAAAATCTTCACTAGCCATGTACTTACTTTACTAAAATTAAGAAAATAATCTGTTAAACAATCCTCGCAAATCAGGCAAAGTAGAGAGTGTGCTGAGCGCATCTCCAAGGGCCCAGCTCTCCCCTCCCCTCCAGGCTGGGGGGGGGGTGCGGGCGGGGGCAGAGGCAGCAAAGGAGCCTCCAGGTCCCCACAGGCCCCTTGGAATTCAATGTTTCACAACCTCCACCTTAGCTGTTACTGGGGATAACCAGTGATTCAACACAGTTTAAAACTGTTTTTCCTGCTAACGGCCCCAGATGCTAAATGTACAGCTTTGTGTGTGTGTGTGTGTGTGTGTGTGTGTGTGTGTGTGTGTGTGAGCATTCTCTCAGTCCCCTGCAACCACCTTGATATTTGGTCTATTTTGTTAACCTAAACTTCTAGTTTCAGTTAAAAAGAATTCTTAGACGACATTATCTAATACTTAAATTGAAAAATAAAATGTTAAGGCTTGTTTGCTGCTGACTGCTGAAACAATCTGTGTGAATGCGAACTGTGTGGACTCACAAAGCATATAGGTTTTATCATGCATGCAGTTCTCCCTGGTGCCAAACCACTAGAATATTCGACTGGGTTCACACCTTCCAAAATTAACCGGAAGTTTCCTATGTATAAAATGCTGTGTTAGATACTAAATACGTTATAAAAAGGAGCCAAAGCTCTGAAACTAGGCTGGGGTTAGAGAAGGGAACGACTGTCTCTAAGGAAACAGCAGCAGCACAGGAAAGGTGGGGCAGGCCCACCGAGGGTCTCAGGGGAGAGGTGGAGCCCTCCTCAGGGAGGGGTGCAAGGGGAAGGCAGCACAGGACAGGCAGGAAATGGCTTCCAGGAAAGGGGGTGGGGGCATCTGAGAAGAGCTCTGAAGAGTCCATGGGTTTCATCACCACCAGAGGGTTTGGGGGAGCCAGAGTGTCAGCAAAGGCCTGGAGGTCTGGAATGTAAGAATGTGTTTGGGGCTGATGTGATCAGCTTACAAATGGACAGGGACTGAGGGCAGTGTCACCCCGACAGACTGCGCACTGTGTGGGCAAGCCCAGTGCACGGTCCTCACCACACCAGGGGCAGGCCCAGTTCCTTTCCTGGTATGAAGGGGGAGACAAGCTTGTGGAGGCAAGCGCCTGCTGAAGGCTGGAACGGGCAGGTTCGGGCTGGACTACTGTCAGGCTCTCACCCCAACATTCTGCCTCAACTTGCAGGGCGCTGGGGCTGCTGAGGCCACACAGGGCCTCACGTGGACATGATGGGTCAGGCAATGGGGCCGCTGCAGGTTGGCATTCACAAAAGTCACATGATCAGAGCCGTGCTTTAGAAAGACCAGGAGAGTCACCAGGTTCACAAGGGCCGGAAACCGCATGTGGTGACTGCTATGAAAGGGCACGGGGAGACATCTCCAACTATGGCGAATCCTGAGCCTGTCCGGTGGTTCTCCCTCCCCCACATCCATGCAAAACAGTGACACAAAATGTAAAAGGAAAACACTCGAATACATCAAGTGTTCTTTTAAAAACTATTCTTTCACTCGAGACTACAACTGTACTAGGAGTCATCGAGGCGTCGAGTCCTATCAACTCCCAGACCTCATTTCAGGTCCTTAGGGCCCAGGCAGCAGGGGCGGTATTTTAACCCAAGGTCAGGGCAGGGGTTGGGACCAGGCTTTCACCGGCGGGCCGCGCGGCGCCCTCATGTGGCCTCCGGGCCGCGGCGCAGCGCGGGGCGTGGGCCGGGCCCGCCGGCAGGTGGCAGCAGGGCGCACATGCTTCCCGGTCCGCGTGTGCGGACCCCATGCAGCAATCCTACCCCAGCAGAAATGAGGTATAGACCTTTAAAATGTATTTAAAAAATCGTTCCCTCACCTTGAGCCCTCATATCTCCCGTTCCTCTCATATTCAGTTGGAAGCCTCAACGAACAGAAGGTAGAAGCACAGAGAAGTGGGAAAGAGAAGAGAGATCTTACACACCAGTACACGACCGCCCGTACACAAACACAAACGTCATAAAACGAACAGGTCCAGAGCCCTCTGGGTCCTCAGTGCTGCTCAGTAACTCTGTCAGTGGTGACCCAGCCAGGGGCCACTCTCCTCGGCGCGTCCCTGCGGCCGGCCGGGGTCACACATGCCACAGACTTGCCTGCCCGGTTCTGGAAGCCAGCACGCCGCACCTTCCACTCGTTATTCGGACCCGGTTTAATCACTTCCCAGTTAAAGGGAAACGGATTTACCAGTTGAATTCTACACTGTTACACATTTTTCTGCCCAAGGAAAAATCTGGCAAGTGGGAAGATCAATTACAATCTAATCGGGGAGGGGCATTTCCCTCAGGAAGAAAGCAGCCTTCCCAGTTCGTGCTGCAGCTCCCGTTAACAAGGCCTCTCAGCGCCCACTGCTTTCGTCATCAGAAGCCGTACAGCCTGACTGACGGTCCAGTGAGCGGAGGGGCGCAGGCACGGTGTGTGGCCTCAGTGGCAGATTCTCTGCCTCATACGTGTGCATTCCAACACAGGCAGTGACAGTTTTGGTCTCTTGACTGTCATCAAAAAATAAAGTCATCTAGTAGCAACAGCATTTACTACAGTGCTTTACGTAGAAACAATGAGATGCTTTCTTCAGTGGTTGGTGGAAAGTGGCTTTTAGAATACTATTTACTCTTCAACTCTGGAAATATGAACACATTGCAGCTATGCTGCTGCCCTCATCTTAATTTCTGAAAAATCCAAACCAAATGAGGCTGTAAGGTTTGAATTTTATGCTCGTTTCCAGTATCAGAATATGAGCTAATTTCTGACATTTTAAAGCTTTTTGCTAATTCAATGAAAAAAGGACAACATCCTTACCACTTACCTTCTGCATGCTTGAGGCTAACCACTAAATGTACATAATATTACTGCACACCTCATTCTTCAAACAGAAGCATGCTAAGTGTTATTAGTATGAAGACAGAATTATTTGGATGCTAAATAATTCTACCAAGGAAAGAAAATGCACAGAGCATGCGTAGGCCTCATGTTACGTGGGTGCCACAGTGCCTTTAAAAATGCCTGACAGAGTTAATCTATTTCTTTCCACAGTTTACTTTCAAAGAAATAAGTATTTAGTTCTCAGCAGAAAGTTTAGTTTTAAGGGAACAAACAAAACAAAACAAAAAAAACAGGGCTAGAAAGCCAAACCTCATGTTAATTGCAAGAGCCATTTTGGAGTGAGGATTGAAAAAAAAAAATGTGTATATATAAATCCTACCTTTTGATAAACCTGAATGACATGTTTCTAAAAGAAATTAAGCCAAAAAAAGAAATTAACAAAAATGATTTGTACAAATGAAATAGAAAATCTAGTCAATTATAGAAAGAAAAATGACAAATAAAACAGGGCGCCTCTTCTGTCCAATGAACAATGAAACAGTGACATTTGTTGAGAAAGTAAATTACAGAGTAAACTGAGTTATGTGACCTTGTAATTAGAAATATTAAAAAGTCTGTACTTGAAGCAAAGATTTAGCAGTAAACACTGACATTAGCTGGAATGGGATTTGTTGAAGGCCCTTCAGATGGATCTACTTCGAGATAATAAAAGTCAACATCTTGTGTTAAAGAAATGACTTAAGTCATGTGCAACAAACAAGTAATAACATTCCTCAATCTTCTTCAGACTATCTTATGAGAAATCTCACCTTCTTATACAGGAACATTAAAAATTTCATTATAAATGTTTAACCATTTAAGACAATCATTACTTACTTCGGGAAGATTTGAACATTAACAGACTGTTAATAGTGGTATGATAAAAGTCACTTTTTAAGGAAAAAACAAACAAACAAACAAAAATCGTTATTGGGGTTTAAAATAAAGTAGGCGTTTCAGAGTTTTTGATACTGAAATGAATGAAAATTAAATGACAAGAGAGAACAGCGAGGGTTTCATTTTTATGTTTTATGTAATAAACTGAGAGTTGTATTTAAAAGAAGTGACTCAGCTTGTTCAAAAAATTTAAGAAGATGCGTAAGTTGTACTGAACAGAATGTGACAAAAGAAATCCCAAACTCTGGATCAGGCTTGTATGACCATGTGATCAGCGTGCCTGGGCAAGTGTGGGCTGGGCCTGTCAAGCTATCTCTAAAGCCCAGCTCTGTGGCTGAACACCGGAGGAATGCGTATTGTTTGCTGACTGACTGAATTAAACGAATCCCTGGACTTTTTCCCCTAATTTGGGATAACTTTGGCATTGCTTCAGATTCTGACCAATTTAAAAAGTATCTAGGGCCGGCCGAGTGGCTCAGTTGGTTAAGAGCTCGCTCAAGAGTTTGAGCTCTGAGCAACAGGGTCCCTGGTTTGATTCACGGCCCGAGCTGAGCTGCTGCTGAGCTGCCAACCGGTGGCAGGATGGCTCAGCTTAAAAAAATAAATAAATAAATAAATAAAAAATATCTAACTGCTCTGGTAACCACCAGCCACTTGCTTCACCATGAATCAACAGTGGTCCACAGCAAGGTACACACAGCAGAGGTCATGCATTGAACGTATTTTGTAAATAATTAAGTCCTACGTAAATATAAGGCAGTATTCTTCAGAAACTTATTCTAACTGAACACTGATTAAAAGGTCCTTAAAATACATTTTCAGTTCTGAATTTTCTGCCTGCGAAGTCAGGGTTCCTATCAAGGACCACAAGGCTGGGCTGCCTTTTGAGTCTCCCCCACGAACCCCTTGAGGTGAGAAAAGCAGGCAGCTGTAGGACGCTGCTCTGACTGCAAGGGGCCTCAGAGATTGCAGAGCCCACGGCTGCTCCAAATGCACGGCATCCAGGGCAGAGCTGGGAGCAGAGTGCAGGTCCTCTGGTGCCAGCTCTTCCCACCAAGCCGCGGCAGGTCTCCGTGCAGACTCGAAGTGCGTGCACCTGAGCCCTTCAGGGACTAGAGCTGTAACCCTAGCAGTTCATGCTGGGGGAGGATAATAAGCTGACACTGACTACGGTGGCAAGGACTCTGTTCTTAGGAATGAACTAACTACATGGGAAGCACAGGACCAGGGGAGACGACAGACCTCAGACCCTGAAGCTAACAAATAGAAGACTACCTTTCTGAAAAATGTGGGGGTGGAAACTGTCCAAAAACTATAAAATAAGATGACGCCCTAGAATTTCTTTAACAAAAAACCTCAGTCTCCAATTTCAATTCAAACACAGGAAACAAATTTACTTAGAGAACGAGGGAAAGGCACCTTGCCTGCAGCAGTCCTTTACAGTTCTCCATGGGGAGCATGATATAGTGGCTTCAGGGTCTTTTCTGGAGTCACAAGCCTGGCTCAGGTTTTTGCTGTAGGATCTTAAACATGTGCCTTAATCTCTCTGAGCCTCATCTCCAGTGTCTTCTATATCTACTCCACAGGGTAGACTGTGAAGATGGAGTGATGGCGTGTGTGTGTGTGTGTATGTATGTGTATGTGTGTGTGTGTGTGTGTGTCCATACATGCTTATATATGCAAAATGAGTTCACCTAGAATTCTGCAGATATCTACTTAGCATATAGCAAGCATTCAATAAATGGCAGGTGATATTATTTTTATCAATGATAGTATCAAGATGACCAAAAAAAAAAGAGCACAAAGGAGACAAATAAATTCAAGGATTTTAATGACGAGCCCACGATAAACACAAAGCTGACTGCTGTAACCAGACCTGATTACTGCACGTCCCCCTGTGCTTGGGGCTCAAAGGGCAAAACACACTGATGTTCAGCAGCGTTACTGAATGACAGCTGGTTCCATGTCCTACCACCCAAGTTCAGAGGCAGATTCCCTTTGGGACTAGTCCCCAGGAAGGCCCAGGATAGGCCATGGGCTGACCCTGAAAGGAAGGAGTAAATTCTTCTGGGGTCACCGAGCTCAAACCTGGCCAGACCCTGCAGGCCACTCTGCTCTTCTGCCAATCTGGAAAAGGTGTCTCAGCAGAGCGGCTGTGAAGGGACTAAGAAGCCTGGAGCCTTCTGACTGCTCTGACCTCTAGTCAAGGCTAACAGATATCAGAAGTCCTCCTTGATCTGGCCTTCACGTCCTAACAACACACAGATCATCTGGGGAAAGAATTTAATGCAACCCGTCTAAATTTTAGATGATTGATCGAAAATAAAATTACTGGAGGAATTAAGGAGACTGAAAAATGGTCTTTAGCTTATAGGCTGAATAATGAAGATGGCACGAAACACAGCAGGCTGATGGGCCAGAGGGAGGGGCGTCAACCCCTGCAGACAGAACCACCATCGTGCTGTGTGTGAGATGATGACTGAGGGTCTGTGACAGGCAGGCCTGCCGGACACCTCGGCCATGCTAATCCACTGCGAGGCTGAACTACAGCTTCCTGGTTCAGGCTGCCTGGGTGTGGTGCTGGCTAAAGGTGCCTCTGACTATCTGCTGAGGGGGCAGACTGGTACCTTTTTTCTTCTGTAGCAGCCATGTTTTTAGGCTTTTGCAACCTCCAGCTAGATTATGGAAATAAAGTTAAAAGGCCTCAAGGGCCCCAGTGAGATTTCCAGGGATTTCCCAAGGCCCCAAATGACAGGCTCCTGGACACATGAAGGGTTATACAGGACCAGATGCTAGCTTCTTCCTGAGAATAAAGCAGGGATTTTATCCCCACAACGATACCATTTAAGAAAGTTACCTTGTTCTCACTGTAACTTGAGACCAACAGAGAGAACAATTCCAAGATTCAGACTAAGAAACGTAATGCTCCTCAATGACAGTGAAATGAAATGAGAGATGGACTGTGTCTCTCTCCTGTGTCCAGAAGTGACCGCACCGCCCCTGCCCCCTCAGGACTGCTTACGGGGCGCCAGCCCCTGCCTACACTGGATCCAGGGTTCCGCTAAACCGCAGTGAACATCTGTGTGGACAGATGTGTGACCCAAAGGATCAGGAATTCAAGAACCGTCACCGTCTCCCAACTGCTGGAGAACTTTTACAGTCGCGAAGGATCTGAGCTCTGTAATTTCTCTCCTACAGGATTTTAAAGTATAAAGTTAGACATACGAACCAGAAAAACATGAGCTAAAGACAAAAAGCAGCCAGCAGTGGCTTCACACACAGAGAAGACATTTCCCCTTTTGCTCCCAACAACCAGCACCACCTGGCACTTACCTCCTGGTGAGTTTTGAGGTTAATTTACTGAAAAGATTAGTGGAGCCTCGGCTTCGGGTCTGTGACAGTGGCGTGGCTTCGTGGGACAGGCTGGGCGAGGCGGGCGGGCCATTGTAGGTGGCGGTCCGCCGCTCCCGGGGCTGGCCGTGGAAAGTGCTACGACTGGCAGTGCCTCTGGGGAAGCGGATTCGATCCGGGGTGGTTGCACTGCTAATACTGTGTGTGGAAGCAACTGGGGTTCTCTGATCAGGAATAGTGCTAGGAGACCAGAAAACACAGTTTTACATCTCTGTTCACAAGCCCTGGCTTTGGGGCAAACAGGGCACACAAAACCTTACAGTCACAATATACCTTTTATATACACTGGAGAAAATCAGTTTTAATAAATCCAGATCCAAGGGGTGTTTCACAGGACTTAGGAGCCAAAGGTGAGTTAAATGGGAAAGGGGACCAGAGGGATAATATATAATGAAACAAAGCCTCATGGAGTTTAAGGGAATAGTACAGACATATTTTCAAGGACAAAATTAGTGCAGGGAAATTCTAAGACAAAGAATGGCTAACCCAAGCTTTTTCCTTTGCTTCCCTCTCAAATTGCTCACATGCAGAGAATCTCGCCAGCATAAAAAAACCAAAGGCTATGCAGGTGAAACTGACGAATAGGCAATTGAAAACTTCTGGAAGCACACGAATGGCATAAACACTGTAAACTCCACATGCTGACGGCAATGTGGATAAGAGGGCCATCTCACACCCTCTAGTGTGCAAAGGCACGAGGGCGCACGTGATGAGCACAGACACCATGACACAGGATGTGCGTGACCAGAGCACACACAGGAAGCAGGACACTGTGGACAACTGTGACAAATCTGGGACCAGCAAATCCACGGCATGAAATTAAGAAGCAGGGGTTGCACATCAGTTATACAAGGAATGGCGTTTTTCTTACACAGCCGTGAAGTTATCTCCGTCACTGTCTATTGAAGGGGTCTTGGGGTGCCCAGAGGCTGGCATGGACATCGACTTCGGATGTCTCAGCCGACAGGTGGAAGATATGGTACAAACTGAGGCAGGGCTAGCTGCATGAGCGGACACTTCTGTCAGGCTGGGAGGGGTTGGGTTCGGGCAGAGGCAGAAACAACAGTATGATGGACCAGTGACAAAACGAGCAACCTGCCGCGTAAAGCACATATCTTCCTCCCAGACCAGCTCATTTCTGTCAAACTACAAAATCTCTTAAACTCGTTTTGGGGATTCTCGAGCAACTGCTAACCTGTAGCTGCTTTTTAAAAAAAACCCAGCATTTTTAAGTTTATTAGCTTTAAAAAAAAGAAAACACCTTACATGTCTGAATATTTATGTGAGAGGGGCAATGTCTCCCTTCAAACCGAAGTGGTCAAGTCGAGCTATGTGGACATGAACACTCTGCTGCTGACCTGTTCTCAAAGCACCATGACAACTTAAAATGGACCAGTAAAGTGACAGGCACAGCGTCTAGCTGTTACTTGTCCAGGTGTCCTACGTTGTTTAAATAGAGCTAAGAGTCTTTCTACTCAAAGGACAGTCACTTCTTTATGAACAAGTCAAAATTCCTAAGGGGTCAACAGAGCCCTTTTTCAAGGTGGTAAAAATAACAAGCTAATTAACCGTTTAGAGACAGAGAAAGAGTGACAGAAGTGGCTGCAGTTGCACCTGGCACAGACAGCCACAGGACAAAACCACCTAGGGAGTCTCACCATGACCTCGCCATTCCTTAATTCCAGCTCGGTCACCGTGTCCTCGGAATTCCAAGGGGGCAGTTTCTTTCCTTTAAGGATAACCAGGATTTAGAATGCTGGCCATACTCCTTCAGTGTCTTTCTGTAGAAATCCGTTTGAAGCCTGCACCCTAGATACCACCAGGCTCTTTCCCTCCTGCCCCACATCCAGAGCTGCCTTCCCTCTTGTTGGGTGGTGTCAGCTTCCCAGTGCTGCAGCCAGCCCCATCCTCTGCATGCCTCCCCGGGGCCCAGAGCAGAGCCTCACCTCCCTCAGCACCTGTCTGCACTGGTCTCTGGCCTTCGCCTGCACACCTTCCAATCTGTCCACCACAAAATGTGAGCTTCAGAAAATACAAGCCTGACCCTGGCACTCGTGACCTTTTAAAAGCGCACTGCATCTTTGGGTGCAGATCAAACTCCTCCCCAAGCCGCGCCCTTAGGCACCCACAGCAGGCCCTGCCATCTGTCCAGGATTCACCCTCTATCGTTAGCTCCCAGAACTCTGACCCTCGGACGGTGTGCAGTCCCTTGGTCGCATCAGGTCAAGGAACTCCTGCAGGAGCAACAGATCTCTGAGCCTGAGAGCTGGCATCTTTCCATTTCCATCAAAATCCAACCCAGGACACCCCCTCCATGAAGTCCCTCTCAGGAGTGAGTCTCATCTCCTGTGAACTTAGTGCACACCGGCCTTCACGCACCACTGGGGCTTGGTGACCCTTCCCAGCTTGAGCACCCTGAAAGCAAGGCCTGCACTCGCATTAAGGTGTCCCCAGGGTCAGTAGAAAGCCTCAGACTGAGCAAGTGCTCAGTGAGCACTCTCCTAACTGAAAAGGTAAGAGAATGAAATGACCACTGAAATTTTGATGGTCCTGGGTTAAGGTGTCGGGGGAAGGAAGGTGTGTCTTTATAATAAACTGCTCAGCAAGATGTGTTTATCCCTAAATTTTTGTTTAAGATCCTGCCTTCTGACTTGGCAGAGTGGCTCTACCAGTCACAGAAGAACTGAAAGCAAATGTCTTATAAAGATAAAAGGAGATTCAGTTTTCTGTCTTGGCCATGTGACACTCACGCTTTCCTTGTGGCAACAACACTTGAGTCCTACTTTGGGGGAAGCAGGCTCCTGGGTCCTACATGTCTCGGGCTCCACCCCGGACTTTCCCAGCCACCCTGACCAGGGACAGGTTTAGAGCCAGACCAAAGGGGATGGAGAAAACAGCATGGGGCTTGTGAGCAGAGCTGAGCATGGGGCAATGTTAAGTGTGATGCTGCAGGGCCCAGCCAGGGACCTACCACAGAGGAAGCAGAACTGGGAGCTGCACCAGACTCTCCCTGGACTTCTGGTTGTAGGAACTCATGGGTGCCATTAATTTCAGCTTATTTGGACTGAGCTTCTGTCTGTCACCTGCCACACAGAGTCTTAACTGATCTAACTATCTGAAGAAATGCTTAGTTGTTCCCCATTCATACAGCCATACATATGCATGTAATTTTATTTTTAATAAGTTATAGATAACTACAAGTCTCTTGTGCTCTAGTATCTGTTCAGGGCAGGGCAAGGGTCAACATACTTTATCCCCCAGCCAGCTGCTGAGATTCTCTTGTCCACATTAGAAGCTGGGATCAACGGATGCATTAAGCAAGGCAGGGGAAGGAGGGCAAGGGAGGCAGGGCTTGTTTGGCTTCTTCCCTGGAGAATATAAATGGTCCCATCGACTCTGGAGAAGGAGAGGGCTTTTAGTTGGCCTAACGAGCAAGAAGACGCCCGTTCCATTCCCCATGAGGCACAGCACTCCCTGGCTGGACAGTGAGCCAAGGTCTCAGGGCACAGAAGCATGGCAAGTGTCTGGACAGATGCTGTGCACTAATCGGACCCTCTTCAGAGGCCTTTCTAAAAAAGAAGTGTAAATGGTATTTTCATTAGAAATTACTAAATGTTTTGACATATTGATCTTAAAGGCAAGTACATGAATCAGTTCTTTAGAAACTGGATCCGTGCCGCACTGGGAGTTAACAGGTGCGTACCAGAACAGGTGTGTTCTGCCTTCCACAGCAGGCTGCACCCCTTGGTTTAGGAAACAGTGAGTTCAGTAAATGCCTGCTGATGTCGTTTGCACAGTCAAACTCACAATGGTCCTGCTGACAAGAGACCACCTCAACATCACAGCAGCCGCATAATACTAAGAGCTCCTCGAGCTGGCTGCTGTGAAAGCTGGACAAAAATTGTCCCCAAAAGTGTTAAAAGACGATGGTCCTAGTCCACAGACCAGCCTACAACAACGTACAGACCAAAAGAGCAGCTGCATTCCATTTTTAATATGAACAAGGAAGAACCATGTTTTAAACCTTAACAGAAATAGCAAGGTGTTTCTGAAAATTCAAGTTGTGTGAAGTTCCTTTCACTCTTCCTAGCCGCTTTGCATTTATGTCTGATTTTTAAAAAATTTTAAACTCTATTCTACTATGGTTACTAGTGGACAGGTATTTTCAATTTGTTTGATATGACATCTATCCCAGATCAGAACATTCTGGTATGAAACGTTTTGGTTGCTGATTCAAAATACATCAGTGATTGGGGCAGAAGCAGAATTAAAAATATAATCCAAAAGATACATGTGGTAACTGATCAAGCCTTGCTGTAAGACAAATGGATAGTTGGGTAAAGTAGCAGCCACTTTACAATTTTAGGAATTTACCTGTGATATCAAATACCTCAAACTTCTTTGAAAAGTTCTGTTGTGCTTTGTTATTGTGAGTGACATAACTACTACTATTTTCAACAGTCTCTTATGGGGATCTAAAAGCATATGAAAAAAGCAGGACAGCGTGTCCATGTTATGTGGGTTGGTTAGCGACAATACTAGCAGAAAGGCTAGGTATAGTTGGTGTAAACTAAGACAATTCCTCCCATCACATCTAACAGTTCATCATCAATAATAAAAGCCAGTGTGTGCGGAGCGGTGCCAGTGCTAAGTGGTGGAGACTCGCCATGGACCTACGTGACTCACAGGACCACACACTGGGGGTGTAATTACACCTTCTCATGCCCAGCTTCTACTGACCCATAGTCAGTGCTGGAATCGGGCCATTTTCACCTGAAGAAGGCAGAATCATTATAACAGCAGGATTACAGCAGAAAGTAGGCTGGACCTCAGCATGCCTGGTTTCAAAACAAGTCTTACTTAGAAAACTGCTCGTGTCAAAGCAGCAATTGGTTATGCCTCCCCTGCCTTAGATACCAGTGACTGACTAGCTTTATTTCACGGAAAAGCTGATAAAACAGAAAGATTGCACAGTAAGAATCAACAAACAAAATAAATTTCAAAATGAAAAAACTATTAAGGGCCGGCTGAGTGGCGCATTGGTTAAGAGCTGGCTTGGGACCCCAGAGGGCCCCGGTTCGGATCCCACATATGAGGGCCGGTGACATTGCCCTCCACAGCTAAGATGCTGAACAACAGCTCAACCTGGAGCTGGGCTGCCATGAGTCGCCAGCGACGGCGTAGGCTGCAGTGGAGCTGGCTAGCAGCCGCCGGGAGCAGCTGTCCAGAAGCCGGCGACTGATCTGCCTCGCCCGGGAAGAGTGCAATGATAGTGCCAACTTGGGCCAGTGAAGCAATGTCCTCCACAGCTAGACTGAAGAACAAAACGACAGCAACTTGTCTGTTCCCCTTTCCCCAATTCCCCAATAAAAATCTTTAAAAAAAAAAAATCTTAAAAAAAAACCCCATTAAAACCAATTATATTGTCTATGGCAAGAGGGAGGCTTTGCAACATCATCCCATGTTCAGACTAGAATGCTGAAGACAACTGAAGAGCTTGTTTAAGACATGCATATAGCCCTTGGTTTAAAAGTTCATACAGTTTTTATTAGTCATGATCATTCTCATGTTGAAAGTCAGTATAAACACTCACATGTGTAAGAAAGAAGTTCAACATAGTCAAGGCTAAAAATGAAAATGAACGTCCTTCTTTCAGATGTTAGCACAGATCCCGGCATTCCGTAGCTCACCAGCATTTTAGTCAAGCAGTAAGATACATATGTGAGAGAGGGAAAAGCTACGATCTGCCTAGGAAGCCATCTGTGCACAGAGAGGACTCAGTGCATCTAATTTACGACTCAGGCCCCTATTTGAAGGGTGAGAAATTTGTCGCATTTAATACCTTAACTGAAAGTAAAAAATATGACCACTAGAGTTTGGCGCTCAAACTTCCAATAATTTTCTACATTATTGGAAATCCACTTTCCATTCACTTGTAAGACAGAAAGAGAGAGTATCCAGATATTATTAAAATTACGGGCCCGATCTTGTGTCGTTTGGCACTGAGGCTGTTTGGTTAAAAATAAAGACAACACTTTCAAAAACAAAGCGTTTAAATGACTGATGCTAACAGAAGCAACAAGGCCCAGGCCAGGATAAGGAAGGGTCAACCCCAATGAGGAAGTATCTCCAGGGAGCACACACACAGGTAATGACTCCACAGAGGTTCGGAATTCTTAGAACTGTTTCCACAGAGTGAACTGAGTAATTGTGGGAAAGGGGAATTAGAAGAGCGTGTGAACACACAAACACAAAGGGGGGGTGCAGACCTTGGTCTTAACAGCCTCTTAAAAAGTCTGTCTGTACCTCAGAGAACTGTACACTCTAAAGTTCAAAAGGAATCTGATAGAATAGTTCAACAATTTGGAAGAATTTGTAAAAAGAGGAAGGGTTATGAAACAACATTTTCCTAGTTCTTTATACTAAAATCCATAACATATTGGAAACATCTGTTTAATTAAATCTTCTACTGATATCATCTATTAAATCACTTTGAACTAGAAGAAATTTGATAGATTTGAAAATGTTAAGTTAATAAAAGAAAATTTATCAGAGAACAGACTATTAAGAAATAAATTTATCAACATTATTTGTAAGCTACCTAGTCCAGTTGCTACACAAGTTAGGAACAGTTTTTAATCACAATGGAAAAGACAATGTTAAAATAAGCACACACATAGGAATCAAAAAAGAGAAGACTGAAATGTAAAAATTTCTAAAACTCCACTGAATTACCAATATAATCTTACATCACAAACTTTTACCTTCATATCAATTCAAATTTAAGTGGTCTATGGAAGAAGGAATGATATATACTGTAGTGTGGTCTTAAGGATGAAGGAGGAAAGAAGACTCTTAGTCAATCATAGAAGTTAGGGATCAAGCACTGTATTTGACTAATGAGATCTACAGGAAACAAGGCAATTGCAGAAAGTAAATCTCAGAAAAACAAACAAACAAACAAAAAGAACGAATTTTGATGCTAGACATGTCAATGTGACATGACCAAATAATGTTTAAGTTAAGAGGTCAGGGGACAATGGCAGACGAAGTAAACTTATTTTCTGGATTTCTACTCCAGAACCTTATCTGCTCACTTTGACTTATTCTCACCACTCGGAATTGTTTATACACGACTCTTCCAAAAAGAAAGAAGGAAAATCCACGGCAGCTTGGGAAATGTGTTCTATACAGAATATAACCACTCTAACACTCCAACTTCTCTTCTCTCTCTCCCCGCAAACTAACTTTACCCCATGGTCTCTGGACCCACTTGATCCCACTTTTCTGACTACTTATTTATTTTGTAGCCCCAAGAAAGCTGTTTGCAAAATACAACTCTCTTCCTATTGACATATTACTTTGTTAGTATATTAAATCATGCTTATCCTATGTAAGCCTGCCTCTCCACCAGATTAAAATCACTCAGAAGACTGCTACACGCTCCATTTCTTTGGAACTCTCATGTGTGCATCCTTCAAGGTAGAGACTCTGTTACGACTCGGCCACCTGGCTTCTTTGGCAAACTACTGACCACTGAAGGCTCACCCACCCCACCTGGTGATTTCTGTCCCCTAGGAGCGTGGCTCCCTGCCTCACATCCTCATCCTTCCCCTTATCAGCCTCTGTTTGAGGTATTGACTACACAAAATAATCTCAACTTCCCTATTCACTGTTCTACAATGAAACCATTATCTTAACTATCTATCTCCTCTGGGAAAGTTCCCTGGTTAAACGCGACCCTTTCAATCATTATATACGGCCAGCCAGGAGGATGAGCTCTGGACAATGAGAGGAATTTGGGATTTTACTACCTCACTACAAACTCGCATTCAAATATAATTTACTGTTAGAGAATACTTACCAGTATTATTTAAAATTTGATTATAAAAACTGAGAAGTAAACAATATGCTTCCATTTATCTTGGGAAAAACAAACTTTCTTGAAAACAGACAGAATTTCATACCTGTTCTCTCTGCCATTAGGAATTACTGAGTGTCTATCCGTTGTAGCTCTTTCACTGCAAACGTAAGTATTCCGCCGAGTCATTCCGCCAGATGCTGTATTACTCTATTAAAAAAAAGGGCATTTTTGTCTTAAACTGTTTAGTAAGTATAGTACAATGAGGGGGGGAAAAACCTCACCTAAATAAACATGAATACTCAGTCTTTAAATAAACCCACACTAAAACACCAACAGACCAGAAAAAGGGGTGAAGGCAACAACTCTACCCTTTCTCCTTGCAGACAGAATGAAGAACGGCCATGGTAGCAGGCAATAGCTGGCAATAATAATCCATAAAGCAATCACTCATGGATTATTTAAAGTGGGAAGATAGAGAAGTCCACTATTTTAAAAGTAGTACTTTCAAAATTAAAAATTAAAAAGCAACCACAAAACGACAAACAATTTAACAATGGGCAAAGAACTTGAATAGACAATTCTCCAAAGAAGGCATACAAATGGCCACAAGCACATGGAAAGATGCTGAACAGCACTGGTCACTAAGGTACCACTTCACACCCATTACGACAGCCGTAATAAAAAATGGAAAATAAGTGTTGGCAAGGGTGTGAAGACACAGGGACTCTTGTACACGGTAGGACATCAAATGGTGCAGCTGCTGTGGACAAGTTTGGTGGTACCTCAAATAAGTGAAATAGAGAATTACCTATGACGCTGCCATTTCATTCCTAGGTATATGCTCAAGAGAAATGAAAACTATGTCTACAAAGAAACTTGTACACACGTGTTTATAGCATCATTATCCCTAATAACTAAAAGGTAAAAATAATCCCAATGTCCATTAACAACGGATACACAGCAAAACTGTGGCATGTGAAAAGGAGTGAAGCGCCGATGCACGCTACCACTTGGGTGAACCCTGAAAACATGATGCGAGTGAAAGACGCTGGTCACTAAAGGTTGCATTTCGTGGGAGCCCAATGATCTGACCGTCCAGGACAGGCCAACCCACCAGGAAAGAAAACAGGCGGGGGCGGGGCTGGGGAATGACCACTTCCTGGGCGCTGAGTTCTGGAACCAGAGGCTGTGGCTGCGCGCTGTGGATGTACTAGACACCACCAAACAGCATGCTTCAAAATGGTTCGTCACAAGTCATGTGAGTGTCACATCAATTTTGAAAAAGCGAATACTTTCAAAATTAAAAAGCAAGGAGCAAAAGTCACAACAAAGGAATTTTATCAGGTAAGGACCATTTTTAAACAAAGATAAAAGTAACCACCTTTAATACAGCAGGAGCAGACCATGTATCGGAAAATGCCAAAGACTAATGGGAGAAAATCTTAACATTACTTTTTTCTTGTACAAATAATCAAGTTCAGGTGACTCATAGATAATGGTCGGGATGTATTGGGTTGTCAGAAAAGTCACGACGTATTTTTTGTTTTTCGTTGCAAAAATGCATCATGACTTTTCCGACAACCCAGTATTTTCAAAAGGGTGGTGTGATGAGGGCATTGATAGGGATGGGAAGCTAGGAAGGCAGAGAACAAGGTTCTTACCTTCCCTGAAAACTGTCAACAAAAGCTGGGGCTGAATTTAAGCTGCAGGGCTATAAAATGATAATTCAATTTTACAGCATTAGGAAGCCAGAATTAAAGACCCTTTCAGCACAGGGTTTACTCTGATAAAGCCCAACATCAGAGGATGGAGCAGACCAAAGGCTCTGGGCCCCTTTAGGAGCCCCACCCCTAGATTGACACAAAGGGAAGATTCCCTAAGGGGCAACAGAGCATCCCGCCGGGCTCCGCACTCCAGGGGTGACCAGGGGTGACTCCAGGTGTCTGGAGGGCTGTGTCATTAACTTTGTAGGGAAAAGCATGGCTACGGAATTCCTTAAGATTGTTCCTTCTCCTGAAATTCTTTCCAAAATTGGTGTGCTAGGAATAATTATTATTGTATCAAGGTCAGATAGAACACACTTTAATTAATGGAAAAGTTTCTGAAGATGAACAGAATCTATTTAATTGAACAAATACTACTTACTTACTAGGGGGTTTAAGGGTAGGGATTACGAGGTGGGTTCAGGTCAGCAGTGTAATTTTAGGCAATTACCTAACTTTTCTTCATTTTCTTCACCTTAAAATTTAGCTAATATGTGGAAAAGCATTTGGCATGGTCCCCCGGAACACGGGAAGGACACACAGTTGTCATGAGAAACCTTTGAAAATGCAGGGCAAACAGCACATCCCTGGCCTCGGACCTCCCAGTCTGTGTGGTCACCTCTCTATACTGTCATCATTTGGTTTTCTTTTCCTCTGCTAGACCATGAGGTCTTTCCATCTCTCAGCTCCTGACACAATCCAACGCTAGGCATATGTTTGAGGAATAACTAGAAACGCCCCCTGACATAAAGGGTCTGATCCTCATCTAGTGGGATGGGGCTCAACAAGAAATGCCTTCAACGCAGCAGTTGATCGCTGCACAGTGGCCTGCGTGCAGGCCACTCCAGGCAGACAAGGACATAGGAGCGTTTCAACCCTACAACTCCAGGAGTTCGACAACACTTACACTTGGGACAGCGGAGCTCTTCTTGCGTTCAGGAATATCCGCCTTGTTGGGGTTGCTTGCATTCCCGAGCATGGGACTGGCTGGAGCAATTCCCTTTCCTCCAACAGCACTGCCGCTTGACTTCCGGGAGGGAATTCCATCTTCTTTGAGGTCACCATCTGCAGTGCTGGTCTGACTCCTTTTCGGATATGCCACAACTGAAGGAACCGCCGGCCCAGCTGAAATAGAGTTGTTCCCTTTTTAAAAGTCAGAATACAGTTCACATTTTATTCTGTGAAAAGGAATATATTTTATCAGACGACCTAAAATTGCTCAACTAAGGAAATGTAAGGCAGTAAAATCCTCCAAGATGTTTTCCATCTGGGTATGATGTTTTCCTTATGCAATGAATTCAGTTTGGAAATTTTACTTATTAGTCTCTTTCTATTCAAAGTTTGTAAAAACTATCGCTAGTGAGCTTGTCCAGTTGCTATTCAGAAACCTCTTCAGGGGCAGTTCCTGCACAGGTAACTTATCAAACTAACTTGATGCACACACATCACACAGTGAACCGCTTCACCTGGCGCATCTGAGTGAGTTATCTTTGTACACGAGATGCCTTCCCCTTTTGGAACAGAACAGTACAGATTTCCAGGCCATTTCTTTAGCGGTTTTATCGTGGATCTTTTTTTTTATTATTTTTATTTTTTCTGGGGAATTGGGGGGATGAGAATAGCACTGGGGAATTGAAGGAAGGGGAACAGACAAGTTGCTGTCCTTTTGTTCTTCAGTCTAGTTGTGGAGGACCTTGCTTCACTGGCCCAAGTTGGCACCACCATTGCGCTCTTCCCGGGCGAGGCAGATCAGTCGCTGGCTTCTGGACGGCCGCTCACGGCAGCTGCTGGCTACACACAGTAGCTTATGGCAACCCACTGCAGCAGGGGCTGCAGCCTATGCCATCGCTGGTGACTCACGGAAGCCCAGCTCCAGGTTGAGCTGTTGTTCAGCATCTTAGCTGTAGAGGGCAGTGTCACTGGCCCTCATATGCGGGATCCGAACTGGGGCCCTCTGGCGTTCCAAGCCAGCTCTTAACCATCGCGCCACTCGGCCAGCCCTCCTGGATCTTTTTTAAAGCACTCAATCTTCTAGATCAGGGGTCAGCAAACTTCTGAGATGGAAGAGCCAATCCTGTCCCTCACAACAATTTAAAAATTTGAAACCCATAAAACAAATGAAATTACCATTATGTGAACAATATCCTTTAAAAATTTTACAAATGAAACTATGATAGTTTTATTTTCATTTTCAATTTTATTTCAGAGCCACATGTACATACCCGAAGAGCCACATGTGGCTCGCGAGTCGCAGTTTGCCGACCTGTTCTAGATAAACAGGACTCTGAGTAAACAGGGAAAGATGGCATATGCAGAGGAAAGCATGTTTCTCACGCAAGTGACAGGGAGGCAGTGGGCGAAGAAGGTCCCTTCGCACCCCCACTGCAGAGAGAGTGCGTCTAGGGAAATCCTGGGTGGACAAGTAACTTATGTCCTACAATAAACCATCTGAAGACCCTGAGAGTAGCACAGGCGACTCGGGGCTCAAAGAATTATGGAAATAAACAAGGTAACTAGTGTACTCATTATATATGACATGCAGTGGTAACCTTAAGGAATGTACCAAATGATCATCATTTATTCTGTGGAGGAAACTATATTTTAGGTCTATTAAAGAGGGATGGGGTGCAGAAAAGCTACTTCTTAAACAAAAAATCTAAATGGTAAATCTACATGTAACTAAATTAAAATTAAACAAGGGTTTCATTTTACTTATGGGAGAACAACTAAGCTCTAATTTGGCCATTTTAACGGACACTGACATCATCCTCTGACCTCATTCTGACTGCCCAGTTTTCCTTGCATCATCTGTGTCTCGGTGTGTATTTGGTTGTACACACTTTGGGCGCAGCTACAGATCCAGATGAGTATCACCTGCCAAGACACAGACCTGCTCCATCTCAAGGGTCTTGTAGGCCGTCCTTCCACAGCCAAAGCCACCTGTTCCACCCCAACCCTTCCCTAACTCTGGCAACCTCTAATGTGTCCTCCGTCTGTGTACTTCTGTTAGTTCAAAATGTTACATGAATGGAATCACCTCTGTGTAACCTTTAGAGGTTTCTTTCCCACTCAGCATAATTCCCTTGAGATCCATCCTCGTTGCTGTGTGTCATAGTTTGTTCCTTTATTGCTGATCAGTGTTCCACAGTGTGGATGTATCACACAGAAATGGGATTTTCATGTAGTCAATTTGTCAGGTCTTTTCTTTCACGGCTATTAGTGTTTGGGGCCATAGTTAGAAAGGCCTTTTGTAGTCCAAGCTATAACGTAAATTATTTCATGTTTTATTTTACGATTTCTGTGGTTTTTTTACATTTACATCTTCCTTCCGATTGGAATCTACCCTTGTATAAGATGTGAGAAATGGATACAAATTTACTTTTTCTAATAACTACTAAATTGCCCCAGTACCATTTATTAATAAACCAGTGATTCTTTATCGTTTTTTTTTTTTTAACAAGACAAAGAATTCCTTGAAAATCTAATAAAGATCACCCTTACCAGAAAAATACATACACACACAAAGGTCCCAAATTAAGAACCACAGATAAATTGTGATTTTAGAGGCAGGCATATATCAATCATTGGTCTCTAAAAGTAGGGACCGAGGGAAGAGATGAGGGGAGGCCAGAGGATGAGCTCCAGGCTGCTCTGGCTGCAGGCATCTGTCTTCACTTGGAATAGAGTGGATGTGCTTTATTAGACAGTGTATTTGAGCCTATCTCATTTTTAGCACCTAAAGGAACAGTGCCAAAGGCATAATCAAATCTTTCCTTTGTTGATAAAGAATAAAAAAGTACATGAATTTTTGGAAATATTCTCTTATGAACTTCTTTTGAATATTAGAGGCTCCAAGAAGGAAGGATGATGATGATTAGAAAAAGAGTACTCCAAGAGGAAATGGGCAAGTTAGTAAACAGAGGACGAGACCAGGGACGAGGAGTCCTGGGTTCTGAGCCAGGTGTCCCCTCGTCTATGTAATGGCAGGAGACTTTGTGAGCTCTCTTGGCCTATTTCCTTATTGATAAAATGGGTTTTTGGTGAGTGTATGATACCATGTCTAAAGTTCTTTTTAATTCTAAAATTTTCTGAGCTGTAGAAACGGGCATCACCAACCCAGAGAGAGCCTATGTGCTTAAGGAAGAATTTATTAAGATAGTCAACTAGATAGGAGAAAACCCCCTTCCCAGCTTCCTTCCAGGATTTAGGACAACTCCCTTTAAACTGGATGGTTTAGAGCAATATGCAGACATTTTGCTAACTGCCCTGCAGTCCACAAGCACTGAAAACTCCTCGTTAGCAACTGACATGAACAAAAAGGAGAGACCGAGACCCAGATCAACGTCCAGTGTGCAAATGCCATGAGCACAGGTCCTGGCGCCAGAACGGGTTCTAAGCTTTCAGTGACACCCTCGAACAGCAGACATGCAGACCATTTACTGACAATACAGTAAGCCCCCGACTTACGAACATTTGAGTTGCGAACTTTCAGATACGAACGGACCTCGCATTATGAACATTCGTAGATGCGGACAAATCGCGCAAGTAGCTCCCGTGTCTGCCAGACATTGTCACAGTTGTGCTGCTGTGTTTACTGTACAGTGCGATAGTGTACAGTAGTACAGTGCTCAATCAGAGCCCAGGATGTCCAGAAGCAAAAGGAAAAGCAGTGGTGATGTGGAGGGGACTGCTAGGAAGTGCAACGCAATAACCTTGGAAACAAGTGTGAAAATAATTGAGAGATTGGACAGAGGCGAAAAGATGGTAGATGTCGCTCATTCTTATAACATGAATCGTTCAACCACTGGCTTTACATTGTGTATTTGTGTCAAAGGCGTGTAAGACTCACTTTGCCGGACTGCCGAATGATTCAGACTCACGAACGTTCTCCCAGAACGGAACTCGTTCGTTAAGTCGGGGACTTACTGTATCAGTACAAGGTGCTGCTTCAACCAAATCACGTAGACAGGTGGTATCAGCAGAAAGAGAAATGGAAGCCAAGCGAAGTGTCATCGCTTTTGTATAAAACCAAAGTTGTCCACACTAGAATGCTCTTTGAAGTTCTAAGTGCCAACTCTGAAAGTGAGCGGATGGAAGCGGCCAACATCCAGAGGGAAATGAACTGAACAAGAGGTAAATGGGGCTGGCCAAGTGGCTCAGTTGGTTAAGAAAATGAGCTCTGAACAACAGCATCGCCGGTTCGATTCCCACATAGGCCAGTGAGCTGTACCTGAACTGAGCTGCCGCTGAGCTGCCAACAGTTGGCAGGATGGCTCAGCTGGTGAGAGCACGTGCTCCTAAAAATAAGGTTGCCGGTTCAACTCCTGCATGCGATGGTGGGCTATGCCCAACCGCAACTAAGATTGAACACGGCACCTTGAACTGAGCGTCTGCGAGCTGCCGATGGGCGGTTGAATGGCGCCAGGACTTGAAGATGAGCTAGCTGTGTCCTCCACAACTAAGACTGAAGGACAACAACTTGGCTTTTCCTTCCCCAATTAAAAAAACAAACAAACAAAAAAAGAGGTAAATGGATGTGCCATGTGAGGACGTAGTTTTAAAAGTTAGGACCAAGTCAACATTGATCTGGTTCCTGAATCCTGGAATTAAAAGAAATACCTGAAACATTAACACTCACAGTTATAGGCAAATAAACACACACGCCACAGTCTCTGCATTTCCACACGCGGGGGACTGAGTGCCTTGGAGGGAGACTGTGTAGTTTGGTAAGCATCCCCTTTAGAGCCAGCCCTAAGTCTCAGAAAAGATTCACTTCCACGTGAAATGTTGAGTCGGTGTTTAGATAAACCAACAGCTAGATATGGCTAAGAATGACACAGGTAAAAACTTTAAGCCAATTAAGGAAAAACTGGGGTACCACGTCTTCTTCAGGGCTGTGCTTTCCTATGTGGCAGCCACTGATCACATGTGGCTATATATATTTAACTTAACAAAACTGAAAATTGTTCTCCCAGGTCAAGTACTTCACAGGCACATGCGGCCACTGGCTACTATACTGAATAGCACAGCTGTAGAACATTCTCAGCACTGCAGGAAGTTCTACTAGACCGTGTAACTCTAGAAAGGAAGCCCAAAGCAGAGATGGGAAGAGAATGAAGAACCAGAGCCTGAAAAAGGGGTCCCCAAGGGCTGCGTGGTGAGCTTTCCAGCCTGCGAGGCCTTCCCTAGTGAAGCCCATGGGATGTGCAGGACACTGAGCACTGAGAGCATCAGGCCAGCACCTGCAGAGTGGTTGAGGTGCCAAGAAGGGCAAGCAGCTCAGGAGTCCCCAGCAAGGTGAGGAGATGCCTCCTGCAGTGGGGGGTTGCCAAGAGAACACACTTACCATGGTCACTGTAACGCCGCTGCTTCTGGCTGGAGGAAACACTTCTCTGCACTTTGTGGTGCGGAGACTGGCCAGTGCTGTTGTTGAGGTCACTGCTTGGCCTAACCTTAGCAAGTGAAAGATTGCTGCTAGAACTGGAGTCACTAGCATCCAGCTAAGAGAAAATGAGAAAAACAGAGCAAACCACAACACGAACCCAAATGGTTTATTAGGAAACTAAACTTCTCGTAACACACAAACCTCTCATAAATAGCTCATTTAGAGAGAAGAATCACAGTGCACAAAAATGACAACCCGAAGCTCAGGCCAAGTGCTTTTCTGACTGTGGGAAAAAGTCACAAAGGGGTAAGTATTGATGCTCCTCTTTCCAAGTGTTTTCAAATAACTGAAAGTGCTCTATTTACTTTATCTGATACTTTGTATTAGTTCTAAAGTATTCATGGCTATAGGTTAATTTAAGAAAACCAAGTTTGTGACAATATCCACTAGTAAGGATGTTATACCTTAAAGTTAAAATAGTAGCTAGCTCATAACAGTCAGAAGAGCGACATTTTTCATTCACAAGTAAACTGAAAAATAATATACCAAATGTTACACATAGTAAAGAAAAATTAAGAGATCTAACATAAACTTATAACTTACATAGAGGATATTTTGTTTTGTTTTTTATCTCTGATTACTCTTACCTCTGAAGATTTTCTTCCCAACAACAAATATGTAGCTGTGATTTCATCATATTTCATTTTACTCAGAGATTCTTGGATTTCTTCTTGTGAATATCCCATTCCCACCATAATATCTAAAAGAAGGGCAAAATATAGTTTATTTGTTTTGTTTGAATAAGAAATCATTGTGTTACACGGTAAAGTCTTTTCCTTTATTTGGCCCAAAAGATTACACATTTTCTAACATAAATGGGCAGCTTTCTCATTTCTGAGTTACTTAACGCTAGTATAGCAAACTGCAGCTAAGTTCCTGAACATGACAAAATAGATCAGGGGATTTATGTAACTGATCCTTAACTTCCCATTATCTCCATCTTAGGCATACAGGAGTCAAACCAGAAATGTGCTACATGCACACACACAAGCACGCAGGCACAGGTGAATTACCTATCCTCTTCTGGTCTGAGATGTCTAGTTCTGGCTCAACAAATGGCTTGAGCTCGTCCTCCTCATGGCCCGCATTGATCCACCGGTCCTTCATGATTTGCTGCAAGGGAACTGTTCGTTAGTAGCAGAAAACAAAACACTCTGATCATCACCATATTTAGGAAAATTTACTTTCAACAGGTCATCAATTATAGTTCAAAGGGTAACTTAAAAAAAAGTTTTTAATGGCTCAATTCCTGCTTTAAAGCCCCAGGGTAGTTTTCAATATATCATACAAACCAATCAAAGTTCTAAAAATACTTTAAAGACTCTCCAAAGTGGTTACTTATCTCCACGAATGCGATTACCTCTAGAGTGCCTCGTTTGATTGGATTTAGCACCAGGAAACGTTTGAGAAGGTTTTCACAGTCTGTGGACATGTAGAAAGGGATTCTGTATTTCCCTCTTAATACTCTCTCTCTCAGTTCCTTTGGGGAGGTAGAGAGGAAAGAAAACTAGTGAGCCAACTCTGAGGTTAACAAAGAACCCCCAAGGCCCACATACTGATACAACATGAAGATACCAGCACTCGCCATGCTGTGAAGTCTTTTTAGCTTTCTGAAGAGCCTGGTGTAAGTAAGTGCTTTGTATACCTTTAGGTTCTGTCCATCAAAGGGGAGCGACCCGCTGACGAGGGTGTAAAGAATGACACCAAGGCTCCACACGTCCACTTCAGGCCCGTCGTATTTCTTGCCCTGGAAGAGTTCTGGGGCTGCATATGGAGGACTGCCACAAAACGTGTCCAGTTTACTGCCAACAGTAAATTCATTGCTAAAACCAAAGTCAGCTATTTTAATGTTCATATCAGCATCTAACAATAGATTTTCAGCCTAGAGGGAAAACATCAAGACAAAAATGAAATTTAACCAAAATGTAATTAGAACTGTGATAGAATTAGGCATTTCATAAAAGCTTTTGTAATCATATAAAGTTACTACATCCTGAGAAAACATTCTTTCCAGAAAAAAGAGGAAATAAATCAGAATTTCTGATTTTTGAACATTAAAAACCAGTAACAGACACAAGGTGCGGATTAATTCTAGCACTAATATAAACAAATGCCCCACGGTAAAAAAACAAACAAACAACTTCTATTATTTTCTTTATTTTTTTAAAGAAATTTTATTGGGGAACAGTGTGTTTTCCCAGGACCCATCAGTTCCAAGTCAAGCTGTTGTCTTCAATCTAGCTGTGCAGGATGCAGCTCCACTGCTCATGTGGGAATCGAACCAGCAACCTTGGTGTTAGGAGCCTGCGCTCTAACCACCTGAGCTAACCGGCCGCCCCACAAACAACTTTTAAATAGTTTTAATTAAATAATAAAAAAGGGCTTTTACCAAGTAAATGCTTCTGTAAGTGCACAGCCATTTCATAAAACTGCTAAATAGCTGTATAATGGCTATTATTGGGGAGGGGAGAATCCTAGACCTCAAGTAAGATACAGGTTTTCATTTATTTCAACAAATGTATACCATGTGGCCATTACACACCAGGCATCATGTTAGTGTCTGGATATATAATGATGAACAAGACAGACAGGGTCCTGCCCTTAAGAAGCTCATGGATTAGGAGAGGAGAGGCAGAAAAATGAGCAGCTACACTCTGACCTAAGTGCTAGGACAAGGAGGGGTGGGGGCAGCAGGCCTGGACTGAAAGGTGCAGGATGGTTCCAAAGAGGGGGAGAGATTGAAGCCACTGCCTGAAGGTTTAGCTGATATTAGTGGGTATGCTGACGAGAAATATTTCAGGCAGAATAAGCAGTATGAAAACTCAGAAGGTGACAGAGAACGTTTTGCTCAAGACACTGACAGGCAGTGTGTAGAAGAAAGGTGCAGAGAGAGAGAGATGGCTGGGGATGTGGCCATGGCTGAATCACCAAGGGCCAGCAGAGTGACCCGCACTCAGGAAATTTGCACTGTCAACCTCAGGGCAATGGGAAACCACAGAAGAGCTATTTGAGCGGGAACAGCGATCTCACTTGTGTTCTTCAAAGGCCATTCTGGGTGCAATGGGGATACCACATGGGAGGGAGGCCAAGCTGGAAGCAGGAAAGACCAGGCAAGAAGCTAGTGTGGTAACCAAGTATGTGATGCTGGTGGTCTGAATGAGGACAGTGGTAATGGGGACAGAAAGGAGAAGCTAAAGGACCCGGGGACTGAGTGGACGGCAGAGCAGAGGAGAGAGAGGCGCCTAAGGGACATCTGTCATCAGGATGAGAACGGAATATTCAAGGTCAGGAAGGAAGAGCTTCCCGAGGGGCCTGACAGATGCCCAGGTGAAGGTGTCTTTTTGTCAGCTGGATACTGGATCCTAGAAGAGAGCTCAGGCTGCAAGAATGGATTTGGGGGTCATCAACATACAGAGGCTACTGCAGCTCTAGAGGGGTGCAAATGTAGCCAGGGTGGGGCGGAGAGGAACAAGCAGGTCTGTGACAAGCAGGTATGTGAGGAGAGAGAGGGCGTGAGCATCTAGTTAAGACAGGATCTAGATAGTGTTTAGAGAAATATGGCTGTGAGGGTGAAGAGAGAAAAAGAGTGTATCTGGAAGGGGTGTGGGGTGGAGAGGTTTTTTGGTAAAAGATGGTGTAGGCTTGGGCATCCTCTTGTGAGTGCTGCTGGTGAGCGCCAGCTGACAGAGACAGTGAATGGGCGACAGGAGGCCGCAGACAGGGCAGCAGCCCCTATAGGGAGACAAGACCCAGAGCACAGAGAGGGGCCCCACAGAGGCGCCCCACTGTCCTGTAACAAGAGGAAAGTTCTGAGGGGTGAAGGCGGGTGTAGTGTAACTGAGGGAGGGCCTCCTGGGAAATCAAGGGGATTTCGGCCTGGTGTTTCTGTTTCCCCTGTGAAATAGGAAACCTTTTCCTATGCTGAGAGCGGGCAGAAGGCTGACATGGTGAGAGCGGGCATTTTTGGAGGCTCCCATCTGTTTGCTGGTGTGATGATTTTTCTCCAGAGACCAACTATCAGCTGCTCTGACTAAAATGTAAAATATTTTTCATATACTTCATTTTTATTTTTCTACAAAGCAACAATAATCAAAACAGCATAGTACTGGGAGAAAAACAGATACATAGACCAATGGAATAGAATTAAAAATCCAGAAATAAACACATACAAATACAGGCAGGTAATTTTTGACAAAGGAGTCAGACACATACAATGGAGAAAAGAAAGCCTCTTCAATAAATGGTGCTGTGAAAATTGGAAAGCCGCATGCAAAAGAATGAAACTAGACTATTATAATCTGTCACCATGTACCAAAATTAAGTCAAAATGGATCAAAGACCTAAACATAAGACCTGAAACAAAAACTGCATAGAAGAAAGCATATGTACTAAACTTATGGACCTTGGGCTCAGAGAGGATTTTATGAATTTGACCTCAAAGACAAGGGAAGTAAAAGCTAAAATAAATGAATGTGACTATATCAAACTAAAAAGCTTCTGCACAGCAAAAGAAACCATCGACAAAACAAAGAGACAACCAACCGAATGAGAGAAGATATTTGCAAACAATGCCTCCGATAAGGGGCTAGTATCCAAAATACACAAGGCATTCATACAACTCAACAACAAAAATACAAACAATCTAATTAAACAATGGGCAGAGGACATGAACAGAAACTTCTCCCAAGAAGACATACCAACGGCCAACAGATAAATGAAAAAATGCTCAACTTCACTAGCTATTAGGGAAATACAAATCAAAACCACAATAAGATACCACCTCACACCTGTTAGAATGGCTATCAACAAGACAAGTAATAACAGGTGTTGAAGAGGCTACAGAGAAAAGGGAGCCCTCATCTACTGCTGGTGGGAAGGCAGGTTGGTGCAGCTGCTGTGGGAAACAGTATGGAGGCTCCTCAAAAAACTAAGACTAGAATCACCACATGACCCAGCAACCCCTCTCCTGGGTATCTACCCCAAAATTCTGAAAATATTATCCGTAACGATGTAGGTGCTCTGATGTTCGTTGTAGTTTTATTTACGGTGGCCAAAACATGGAAACAGCCTAAGTGTCCTTCGATAGATGACTGGATAAAGAAGATGTGGTATATATACACAACGGAATACTACTCTGCCATAAGAAAAGATGAAATAGTGCCATCTGCAACAATATGGATGGATCTGGAGACTATTATGCTAAGCAAAACAAGTCAGACAGAAGTCAAGAACCATATGACTTCACTCATATGTAGGATATAAACTGAAAGCAGGGCCGGCCAAGTGGCTCAGTTGGTTAAGAGCTCGCTCAAGAGTGCGAGCTGAGCAACAGTGGTTCGAGTCCTGGCCTGAACTGAGCTGCCAACAGGTGGCAGGGTGGCTCAGCTTAAAAACAAACAAAAAACTGAAAGCAACGAAGGAACAAGACAAACAAAAACTCATAGACACAGAAAACAGTTTAGTGGTTACTAGAGGGTAAGGGGGGAGGGGAGATGGCTGAAGAGGGTGAAGGGGGTCAAATACATGGTGATGGAAGGAGAACTGACTCTGGGAGGTGAGCACACAATGTGATATATAGATGACGTATTACAGAATTGTACACCTGAAACCTATATAATTTTACTAACCATTGTCACCCCAATACATTGAATTAAAAAAAAAAAAACACCTCATTTTTATTTTTAATCTCTTTACTGAAACTTGATTAGAAGGATTTGATTATTATAGGATTTATTTTTTTCTTATTTAACAACACAGTCTAAACTAGGCCTCATTTGGGTTATGACTGCCGGGAGAACTGAGCACATACAAGAAAAGCACCCACTGGTGAGGGCACAGGAACCCACCTTGAGATCTCTGTGAACAATCCGCTTCTGGTGGCAGTACTGGACCGCAGACACTATCTGGATAGGAGAGATGCAAAATTAACAGTCACCATGGGTGCAAATTCATCAGTGAGATGAAAATACGTCATTAATGTTCATACATGCTAAATGCTCAGCCAGCACTTAATGTCTGTGTGGAGCTCTAAATACAATTTTCTTATGCTTTGAACTTTTCAACTGGGAGAAAATCAAGTGAGGATGTTTGTCCTGTTCTCTCTAGTTTAACTGGAAAGTCTCTTCTGGGGTCCTCCTTCTCGACATTCCAGTATTTTCGTGTGGTGCCAAGGGCCCAACAAGTCACCAAGATCTGGAGGGCCCGGCTGCCCCCAGGCGCAGGCCCAGATGCTCTGAGGCAACCTCCATGCCTGTGTGATCAACTCAAGACCAATGGGCAGTTCCAGACTCTCCATGGCCAACTGTTAACCTGGGTTTGTTCTCTGTTAGTTACTTTTCTGCCCAGTCTGCTCCCTCCAACACTCTCTTCCTTTTACTTGATGTGGGTTCAAGGATAGTGAAGTTGCTTCACTTCTGGGAGGATCAGTTTCCTCTTCCTTAAAATGGAAAACGAATGTAGTAATGTATGCTAACTATGGAAACTATTCGGTGCTCGCTCAATAAGGGTCCCTCCTACTCTCAGTAAATGTAAATGGTGTGCTTTAAGTCAACTTCTGATTGGTCCTGGGGTCAGCACTGTTAAACAACTGTTTCACACTTACTAGTAATTTTCTCATAGGTCTCCTTTTCTAATATAAAAGTTTTATATGATCGTTACAGAAATTTTAGGAAACACAGAAAGGTTTATGAAAGTATATGAATTACCACCAAACAGGTAACATCTCCTATCACTTTGATGTATTTGCTTCTAGTCTTTTCTTTGGTGTTATTTCTGCACATGTACTTATAATATATACACAAAACTGGGGATACAATGAAACTACTACTTGTTTCTCCAAATCATTACCAACCTTGAATTGTAAGCCACACACACTCACCTATACTAGATATAAAAACTCATGTGGCTGTTGTATAGGTTAATGATTTGGTTCAGAATAAGCAACAAAGAGAGGCTAGGCTGAGGTGAGGGTGGGATGATGCCAAAATCAGGGCTTCATGCTTTATAATAAAGTGAATATTCAGAAGATCAGACCTACTCATAATCAACTAAGGATACAAAAACGCCAATGCCAAAATATGGGTTTTTAAGCATCTGTTACTTTGGAAATGCTGTTTCTAGTCTGTCAGCATAAAAACTGGGAAAGCAAAATTACTTTGTTTTCCCCAAACAAAGCAATAGGTTTACTGCCTAGGACATAGGTAACTTTTATCTTACTTTTGCCTGATCCAATTTTCTTTCTGGTCCCTGTCCCCATACTGAGTTTTCTCTTGTAGATATATTCAAATTCTGCTGTTCAATCAGATTTGACAATTTCGTATGCTTTCTCAACAAGATCAAAGAATTTCTCGTTTTACCTCCAAACAGTTCAAAACTAATGTAACACCACAATAACCTGAAAATACTCAAATTTAAATGATTGCTTTTTTTTTAATACTTTTTTTTTGGGGGGGGG